AGAGAAAGTTTTAAAGGCACTTCTACTTCTTCTAGCTTTTGAGAGATCAGGAGAACCGGGAAAGGGAAAAGAAGAATTACATTTAGTAGGCCAACAATAATTTCGGGAGTAATGAAGCTCATCTAATCCTTTAGATGAATCATCTAAAGGAAACTAAATTTTATGAATTGAAAAAGAAAAAGACTAAGCTTAAAACGGCTTTCAGCTTAAAAAGAAAACACTTTAGAAACTCAAAAAAATGTGCGAAAGTTTTACAAAAAAAGTAAAACGGTGGCAGGCGGGCCACGGGCAGGCGGGCGGACTTAGGGCAGGCAGGCAGGCTTAGGGCAGACAGGCGGGCCACGGGCAGGCGGGCGGGCCACGGGCAGGCAAGCGGGCTTAAGGCAGGTAGGGCGGGGCCACGGGCAGGCAGGGCGGCAAGAGGAATCGAACCCGGGGGCAAAGCTTGCACTAGTTTAATAGCCTAACGCACTATCCCCTAGACTGCGGCTGCTTAGGTTCGTTGCGGTATGGCAGCGGCTTATTGGTGGGGGCAGTGCTGGAGCTTTGGGACGTTCTTTTTGGACACATAACAGGCTTGAACGATTTGAAATCTGAAAAAAAACGATTAAATAAGAAGTTTTCAAAAGAAACGACCAATAAAGGGGCTTAAAACTGGCACCAAACGGCGTTTTTGGCTTGCGATTTGGGGTTTTCTCAGTCTCAGAATTGAGGCTTGGGCTTAGTCGGCTTAAAACTGGTACTAAACCGCGTTTTTGCTTCGAGATTTGCGGTTTTCTCAGTCTCAGAATTGAGGCTTGGGCTTAGTCAGCCTAAAACTTAGAAAAACTCTAGAACTTAAAGTTAGAAACGGCAAATAATGATCTGAAAAAGTTGCAAAGAGCCAAATGATCTCCAAAACACATTTTTCAGCTATTCATTCGACAAATTCACACAAAAAAGCCGATGCTATTTGCAGCTAATCACGCTTTTTAGCTAACCAACTTTCTGGTGCACTCAATTCGTTTTTGTTGCGACTTTTTTTGCGACTATTTGATTTCTGTACATGAATCTAATAAAGTGCACCAGAAAGAGTGCGTTTACATTGCCAAAATAAACACAAAAAGTTTCGTTTGGATATGAGATTTTGAAAGAACTCTCTTTTGCAAAAATACAAATGAAATGTCGATAAATCTGAAAATTTTTCCGTTCTATGTCCGTCTCAAAAGTAACGCCGCGAAAAGTGAGTAATCCGCGTGATGAAAACAAAAAAAAAATTCTCCACTTTCTCTCTGCCCAAACATTTCAAAGTTACGATTTTTCTCCTTGACAAAAAGTGATACTAGGGAAATGAAGTGAATGAAAGTTCGACTGTGAAAAAGTGGAAAAAATAAGTGTTCGACGAGTGAATGAGCGATAGAAACGGAATTCCTGAACAAATTTGTTGCAAGACGTGATTTTTAGGAAAATCATTTGTATTCTTTTATACTCCTTTAGTTTACTTACGAGGTTTGCCTTTACTTGTTCCAATGTCAAGCCTGGGTTCAGCCAGGTTCAGCCAGGGTAGCCAGGTCCAGCCAGGGTAACCAGGATCAGCCAGGTCCAGTCAGGTTCAACCAGGTTCAGCCAGGTTCAGCCAGGCTCAGCCAGGTTCAGCCAGGCTCAGCCAGGTTCAGCCAGGCTCAGCCAGGTTCAGCCAGGCTCAGCCAGGTTCAGCCAGGTTCACCCAGGCTTAGCCAGGTTCAGCCAGGCTCAGCCAGGTCCAACCAGGTCCAACCAGGTTCAGCCAGGTTCAGCCAGGTTTAGCCAGGCTCACCCAGGTTTAGCCAGGTTCAGCCAGGTTCAGCCAGGCTTAGCCAGGTTCACCCAGGCTTAGCCAGGCCAAAAGCAGATTCAGAAGAGGCAAAAACCACTCTCAGACAAGTTTGAAGAATCTGGGAAAGAGGAGATGACACCGAGTGTCGCCGAAATGTTTTACACAGAGTATGAGGAATGGCTTCAACAGGTAAATTGCTGCTGTAATTAGTGGCATTATACAAATAAATAGACAAAGAAGGTAACGTGAATACTGGGATTGCAGTAACCTTATCGAGAAACAGGGTTCACGTTTTCCTTTTCAGGATAGTCAACGCCTGGATCGTCGCCGAATCTTTGACCGTCTCTCAAAGCTGTACCTCGTCCAAAAGCCAGTCAAGCCAAGGTCATGCATTTTGACAAAGAGTTTAGACAGTACCTATGCTGCATATGTGGTTCACATATGCCAAGTCTAACTAGGGAAAAGTACTAGGTCACTTTGGGATTTCGGAACGAAATCTACCCCATCCAATAGAAAATTGAAAAGGGAATCCGAATCTGTAATCGAAATCTGCTGAATAGCTCGCAAACGCAAGATTTCTGACATCGAAGTTTTTGATATATACTCTCGGGTCGAGTTTATGCGATCCCTTTCAGATCGAGTTTATGCGAAGCCGTTCAGCCACAGTCGTGATGTAGTGGATAGTGTGGTTGCATACAGAGATTGAGAATTTCATCGTAGTGGGTTCGAATCCCGAACCTCTTGCTTTTTATTTTTCACAAATACGTTTTTTACTTTATTTATGCTTGGTTTTCATGTGGTTATTTAGAATCACATCTGGACTCTTTCTTGACACCATTTGCGTATTGTTTCGAGCGAGTAGTAGCAGGAAGGACCCAGCCAATAGCCAGAGAAGCTCGACCAGGCCAAAGCTAAGCCAAAATCCAGGCCAAAGCTAAGCCAAAATCCAGGCCAAAGCTAAGCCAAAATCCAGGCCAAAGCCAGGCCAAAGCCAGGCCAAAGCCAGGCCAAAGCCAGGCCAAAGCCAGGCCAAAGCCAGGCCAAAGCCAGGCCAAAGCCAGGCCAAAGCCAGGCCAAAGCCAGGCCAAAGCCAGGCCAAAAGCCAAGCACATCAAAAACCTAGGGATTTTTGTGGGTCTGACGTGCAGTAGAGCATCAGAAGCAAATCAGGTCAGGATTTTGACGGGAAAAAGAAAGCCTTTGCAATAATTCTCCCAGTTCTGCACATTCGATGAAGAGATGAGTGGTTGAGGGACATATAAAAATATGAAAATACAATTCGAAAATACAAAAAGCTGGCAATAGAACGTCGAAAAATGAAAGGCATAGGTTTTTAGATCAAAATATCTTACAAAATTCTAATATAAAGGATAAGAATTTGAGCAAAAACGATTCAAAAGCTGATGAGCTTTTGAATGGTTTTTGATTACTGAACAAGTTCGGCAAATGCGTTGAAATGGAGCACTCAGAAATCTGTATGAGATCTGATTGTTGAGGAGTGGAAGAGATCGTTAACGGGAATCCGATCTCGAGATTTCTTTCTCTGTTTCTTTCTTTCTTCCAATTTTCTCTCTTTTTTGTTCTTTCTCTTGTGATGTCAAGGTCAATTTCTTCGTCTTTTCCTTCTTTCCTTTAGCTCTTTCCCCTTCAAATGAGCCGCTTCCTCTCTTCAAATGAGCTCGATTCCTCCCCGATTCTCATTTACAAACGGAGATAGACACACTGATTCCCGAGGATATTTATTATTGGATTTGCGAGATGCGAGATGCGAGATCATTTTAGTGGATAAAGTTTAGAACAGCTTGTTTCCGGTAATCTGGAAGATCAGACTGCTTTTCCAGGTTCAGAAACTGGATTCATGAACTGACCAGTGCAAGTCGTAAACTGGTCAGATCCTAGATCTTGTAAGATTCTAGACTTTTCGAATTTGCAAGACAAGAAGTTCAAGCGAAAGATCAAAGAGTTAATGGCCACACTTCCAGCTAATGGCCACACTTCCAGCTAATGGCCACACTTCCAGCTAATGACCACACTTCCAGCTAATGGCCACACTTCCAGCTAATGGCCACACTTCCAGCTAATGGCCACACTTCCAGCTAATGGCCACACTTCCAGCTAATGGCCACACTTCCAGCTAATGGCCACACTTCCAGCTAATGGCCACACTTCCAGCTAATGGCCACACTTCCAGCTAATGGCCACACTTCCAGCTAATGGCCACACTTCCAGCTAATGGCCACACTTCCAGCTAATGGCCACACTTCCAGCTAATGGCCACACTTCCAGCTAATGGCCACACTTCCAGCTAATGGCCACACTTCCAGCTAATGGCCACACTTCCAGCTAATGGCCACACTTCCAGCTAATGGCCACACTTCCAGCTAATGGCCACACTTCCAGCTAATGGCCACACTTCCAGCTAATGGCCACACTTCCAGCTAATGGCCACACTTCCAGCTAATGGCCACACTTCCAGCTAATGGCCACACTTCCAGCTAATGGCCACACTTCCAGCTAATGGCCACACTTCCAGCTAATGGCCACACTTCCAGCTAATGGCCACACTTCCAGCTAATGGCCACACTTCCAGCTAATGGCCACACTTCCAGCTAATGGCCACACTTCCAGCTAATGGCCACACTTCCAGCTAATGGCCACACAAATAGTGTAAAAATGCGTTCTCTATTAAAAATCATTAACATTTCCGTTTTCTAGACAAAAAAAATGATCGTTTCATAACTTTCCGTATTTGCAAGACAAGAAGTTCAAGCGAAAGACCAAAGAGTTAACGGCCACACTTCCACAATAGTGTAAAGATGCTTTCTCTATTAAAAATCACTAACATTTCCGTTTTCTAGCGTTTTCTAAAAAGCTGCTTAACAGTTTTATTCAGGTACTTTTTGGAACTAAAGTAAATTTCGACACAAGGCTAATTTTTAACTTTAGATGCGAACTGGTGTTGCTTTTCGCTCCAATATTTCTACCTTCCATTCTCACACGACGGCTGCCACTCTTTGGGCGAAATGGAGCGCTCTTTGCGGGAGCCACAACTGCATTAAAAGTTTTGGGTTGGTCATTTGCTGATTCACGGTGAAATTGGTTTTAGCAATTTCGGTACCGCTCGATTCACTGCTTTGGGGACGTTGGCTTTGGTCGGAAGGAGAAGTCGAATGGTTCAACATCATTTTAAATCGAAGCCACGAATATGGAGTATGGTTTATGAAGAGCGAAAAAAAATTGTTATTGATACAATTCAATACTTGTTCACTGAAACTTGAGCTAAGGCATTTTAAAAATAGAAAATGGTGTTAAATACGTAACGTTAATTGTTGAAACTCAGGCCCGTTCGTTTGGCGACAGCGGCCACATTTTTATTCAGGTACTTTTTGGAACTAAAGTAAATTTCGACACAAGGCTAATTTTTAACTTTATTTTATAAGCAGACAGCTTTTTTTGTAGATTTTTTTAAGAAAAGCAACTTGAATAAACGCTTTCCTTACTTTTTTATCTTTAAAAATTGGTGGTTTCTTGTTTCTGGGTTTTTTGACTTGATGTTTTTGCCTTGAAAATCAGTATTTCGGAAGGGTTTACTCATTTTTTTTGCAATCTGTCATTTTTTTGCAATTGTTGCGATGTTTCTAATAGAAATTTCTTCACAAAATTCATAAAATTCATTTATTCTTTGGACTAATTATACTAAAAGTTGTTTTGCATCAAAATTATACATTTTAGTGTGCTTATTCTTGAGTGCCGTGGTTGTGATCTCGTTTTGCAACGTTTTGCAACTTTTGTCGTTGTATTCGCAAGCATTTCGGCGAGGAGAAACAGCAATATTTTTGAGGTAGCTTTTTGAGCTTTAAAAAAAAAGTATTCTTTTAGGCCTCCTCACCGCCTCCCGCCTCACCGCCTCCCACCCCCAATTTCATTTGCTTTTCTACGCCGTTATCACGTCCGTTACCAAATGTCGTTTTTGCACTATTTGGAGGTAAATCTTATAATGATTGAATTTTATTTTTCTGTTTTAGTTTTTTTTCGAAACTGGTTTTGAACGTTACTTTGTCAGAGTGGAGTATTTGGTTGAAGTGTCAGAGTGGAGTATAAGGTTGTTTCTTTTTCAGATCCTAATGGATCACATTCATGGCAGCGAATGGGTCGTCTTCATCGTAATGATGATTCATTTGCTTCTAGCTCCCGGGACAAAGGTACTTACATTGATTGCTTGTAGTTAATCGAATAGTTTGGGTAGAAGAGTCGTTCAACAGACAGGCCACCCACGATCTGATCTACGAGAATTACAACATATCAAACGTAATTTACTTGCTTTATTGTTTTTATGTAAACATTTTAGCGTGACCATAATGACTTTCCTGGTGTCGTTCCGCGGACTTTTGTCGGACCCTTTGCTTTGACCAGCTTTGGATTCCCGTTACGAATCGTGTTTTGGCTCTTCGGTATTCAGAAAATATGGATGCTCTTTGCAGGTATATTTCGAATTATTTTGCATCAAAAATTATACATTTTAGTGTGCTTATTCTTGGGTGCCGCAGTTGTGATCTCGTTTTGCAACTTTTGTCGTTGTATTCGCAAGCATTTCGGCGAGGAAACAGCAATATTTTTGAGGTAGCTTTTTGAGCTTTAAAAAAAAAGTATTCTTTTAGGGTTATCACCGCCTCCCACCGCCAATTTCATCTGCTTTTCTACACCGTTATCACGTCCGTTACCAAATGTCGTATTTGCCCTATTTAGAGGTAAATCTTATAATGTTATAATGATTGAATTTTATTTTTCTGTTTTAGTTCTTTTCGTCCTACAGAAGTGGTTCGACGGCCAACACCAATCGGGCCGTTCGTTTGGCGACAGCGGTAACATTTTTATTCAGGTACTTTTTGGAAATAAAGTAAATTTCGACACAAGGCTGTTTAACTTTATTTTATAAGCAGACAGCTTTTTTTGTAGATTTTTTAAGAAAAACAACTTGAATAAATGCCTTCCTTACTTTTTTATCTTTAAACATTCTTGGTTTCTTGAAAATGAGTATTCCGGAAGGGTTTACGCATTTTTTTGCAATCTGTCTTTTTTTTGCAATTGTTGCGATGTTTCTAATAGAAATTTCTTCACAAAATTCATAAAATTAATTTATTCTTTGGACTAATTATATTAAAAGTACAAATTGAGATAAATAGTTTAGCGATTTTTATTTTCCACCACATCCACCACCGCATGAAGGAGCTGGGGCTGGGGAACCTGGAAAAGAGATATTTTCTCTAATAGTAGTGCACCCCGTCGAGTCGAGTTGAAGCCTATTTTACGGCTTCCAATTTTTCCCAGAAGCTCAACACTCAAATCCTCCACTAGATCTCATCGTCGGCTACATTTTCCGACCCCACATCAATAGGTTCTCATAAGCGGTTCTCGAGATTTCGTGGAATTTAGGCGACGCTCATGGTGCACTACTATTAGAGAAAATACGGTAGTAGAGAAAAAAATGTTAAAATTTAAATAATTTATATATATTTTGAACAATTATAGAGAAGTTTTTAGCTTTGATTCAGTAAATTCGTGCTTGGCTGGAAACTTCTACCAAATGCGGCTTATTCACTCGACCTAGCACCCACAGATTACCATTTGTTTCGATCGTTAAGCATTTCTCTATTCCTCAAGCAATTTCTCTATGGAAAACTTTTCGATGAACATGCACAAGTCAAAAATGAACTTGATTTTGAAACGAACTTGATTGAAACGAACTTGATACTACTTTCTACTTTGTTCAGAAGGACGCTCAGTTTTTTGAGAATGGTATCAAGGAATTGAGCCAAAGATGGCAAGAAGTCATCGATAATAATGGAGAATAATGGAGAATATCTTTTGGATTAATGTTCTTTTTATTACGCTCTATGAAATAAACAATTTGTTGCCTAAAACGATCGTTTGTAACTTGCCAACCTAATAATTTGATACTGGCTAGAATCCTGGTTATAGCCATTTGTGTCTACGGTGAGTACCAATCTTTTCAAGTCCTAGCTAGACTACTGCACTTTACTATCTGCTGTAGTCTGTACAACGAACAACTTACAGCTTGGGGCCGGTGGTGGGCAAGGTGGTGGACACGGGGGTGGGCACGGTGGTGGACATGGTGGTGGGCAAGGTGGTGGGCAAGGTGGTGGGCAAGGTGGTGGGCATGGTGGGCTGGAAGATGGATAGATTTTGGAGAAAATAGCTTTACTAGATTGAATTTTACTGTAAATACTATCTATTTTCATCTGCTGTTTATCATTTTCGAGACTGTAATCTGTTTTTTTGAGACTCACGGGCATCCACATCCACCACCGCCGAACAAGTTGAAGCAACCCGAGGCGGAGGCGATGAGAGCGACGAAGACGATGAAGAATTTCATTTTCTGACAGCTAAAAGGTTTTCAAGCTTCTAGAATTCGAATCTTTTCTTTTATTTTGAATAATGAAATCAAACGACTATAGACAAAAGTTTAGAAAGTTAGAAAGTGAATTAGAAAGTTCACTGGTTATTGTAAGATGAGATTTCTATAGGAAAATTTGCATTTTAAGCTAACCTTTGCTTAGTATAAGACTATAGAAAGTACAGTAATCAAAAGTGAATCCTTAACCGCATTAAAGTCGCTAGTTATTCCTCGATATTTTCAAGACAAACCTGGAATTACTGGAGAACAGTTGTCGAAGAAGCTGATTGAGCGATGATGTCCATCATTTCCCCAGTAATCCTTATATACCCATAATCAAAGGATAAGATCTTCTCATAACCTTTTCCTTTTTCCTTTTCCCTTTTCTCTTTCCCTTTCCCTTTCCCTTTCCCTTCTTCCTTTCCCTTTTTCCTTTTCCTTTTTTCTTTCCTTTGAACTTCTCATAAATCCTTTGAACTTCAATTCTCGCATTCTTGATTATTACAGGGTTATCCAAAAAAGAGGGATGAAATTAAATGAATTAAGAGAATTATTGTCTGTTTTGTTATTGTTTTCTTTTTTTTCTTTTCCCATTTTTCACTTTATCGTCACACTTCATCAATTTTCATCGCAACACTCTTTCACCTCAGAGCAAGGTGCAGAGTGTCAGCTTTAGTCCAAAAAACGAACGTTTTGTTGCTCTCTCACTTAGCTTGCAAGCTTTGACTAGACTCAAATCTAGAAAAAGTTAGATCAATAATTAAAAGCAATCAAGAATTAAAAGCAAACAATAATTAAAAGCCATCAATAATTAAAAGCAATCAAGAATTAAAAGCAAACAATAGTTAGAAGCAATCAATAATTCATTATACCAGCAGCTTATATTGCCGCCGGAGAAAAGCCTTTTAAGCGAGATTTTAAAAACTTCTATGACAAATATTGCGACAAATATGAGTAGCTAATTTTACGGCATTTTGTTCAGCTTAATCGATTTTTTTAAGTTTTCTCTTCTATAACTAATTCTAAATCGATTCTCGATTCCTGGGGCGATCAGCGATGGCTAACTGGGTACAAGTCTGGTTCTCTAGTTTAGAGAAGGCGTTTACCCTACAAACCTTTTTGCCTTGTAGACCCAGTGTTTATGTAAATTGAATTTTAAATATACACTTTAAACTTTAGAAAATTTATTCATCTTTATCGTGATAAGCTTTGTTGAGGTGGCAGTTTGGAAAACTCTCTTGAAAGGTTTTGGATGAGGGTTGTTGATGATGAAAATGTTCGAGGCGTTCCGATTTTTCTTCTTTTGATTTGAATGGCCCATCCATTTCCTCTTCTCCCTCATCATCTCGATACGAATCAGCCATCATCGCCGAGTCATCGCCCTCGAAGCTGAAGATCGCGCTTTCCGTTGAGTCGCTTTGCTCTGGAGGGCTTTGCTCTGGAGAGCTCTGCTCGATCTCCGCGATTGGAGTTGTGCTAATCTGGAATCTCTATATTCAGAATCTTTTTCTAAATATAGAAATCTAAGTTCCTAGATTTTCCTAGCTACTACTTGTTTCTTTAACTACAGGGTAAAACGTAGGGGTTCTTTTTCTTTCAACTTTCCACTACAACAAAGTTCAAACTTCACATCCAAATGACTCACAATTTTGTTCACTTTGGTCACTCTATGATTGTTGGTTTTGAATCTTACAGGGTGTTCCACAATTACTGATACCCCGACCCCTCATGATAAAAACATTTAAATTGTCCAACGCGAGCGATTTATTGACTGTTTTTAAAGTTTTTCTTGTTTTAAACTTGTTTTCATTTAATAATATTTAAAAAACTGTCCTTTTTTAAAAATGGCCAAGCCCTCCAGCTTTCGCGACTTGATCATTTCTTTTCACAAGAAAGGTATTCCGGCACGGTCGATCCAAGAACGACTGGGAGGTTCCGTATTGGAACCGTATTGGAGCCATTTTAGATCAAAAAAAGAACCGTATTGGAACCGTATTGGAACGATTTTAGATCAAAAAAGAACCGTATTGGAACTGTGTTGGAACCCTACTGGAACCGTATTGGAACCGCATTTGGTCAAAAAAGAACCGTATTGGAACCGTATTGGAACCATTTCAGATCAAAAAAGAACCGTCCTGGAACCATTTTAGATCAAAAAAGAACCGTATTGGAACCGTATTGGAACCGTATTAGGTCAAAAAAGAGCCGTATTGGAACCGTATTTGTTTTGAAACAACTTGTTTTGCGAACATGCAAACGTTTTAAGTCTCTTGGAACAAATCAGGATCGAAAGGGACGTGGAAGACTTGTAACTTCGGCTGTTAAGACTGTTATCAAGAACGTTCGCGAGAAAATAAGGCGCAACCCGGAGAGAGATCTGTTCGTCAAATGGCTCGTGAAACGAAAGTTCCTGTGACTTCGATGCATCGAATCGTTCGAAAACGCTTAGGAATGAAAGTTTTCAAGCAAAACAAGTGTCACGGAATTACCGATGCTACAAAACTTAAGAGAGAACAGCGTTGTGCTCAATTTCTTGCTCGGTTTCCTGGAAAAGCTCACCGAAGGATTCTTTTCACGGATGAGAAAGTTTTTACGGTCCAGCAAGTGTTGAACAAGCAAAACGATCGAATTTACGGCATTTCTAATCCACACAAATCAGTTTCGCATTCTCTTCATCCGACCTCGGTGATGGATCTCCCCTACTTGCGTGCCACGGTTGACGACTTCCCGAAGCGCCTTCAGCTCTGTATCAACGCGAAAGGAGGACATATCCAATAATTGTTGTTTTTCCATTACTTTACTATCTGATTTGTTAAAAATAAAAGTTTCATCACAAGTTTTCTACTAAAAAAAGTTTTTTCAAGCTAGTTATCAGGTATCAGTAATTGTGGAACACCCTGTATAATTAAGGCTAGTGTTTGTGTTTTTAGTCATAAGCCACATTCTTTGCAAATATTTAAATCGGATCGGCTATTAATCCTTGATATTTCATTCATTGAGACTAATTAGAAGCAACTGGCCTACCTTGGGTGCAGTCTCCTTGGGCACAGTCTCCTTGGCATTTGTGGAGGCTTCAAGAATAGACGAGCTCATAATCTGAATAAAATGTTTAGTTGAGACTTTGTTGTTAAGAACAACTCACGTTACGCGAAAAATGTTGCATTTTGCGATTTTTGAAATAAAGTGACTAAAATTCCGCAACAAAAAGCATCTATGGAATCAGTTGGGAAAGGGAAGAGGGCAATCAAAGAGCCACATTGATTGATTGCCAGAAAAAATTTGGTTGCAACACAAAAATTCTTGAAAAGTAAAAAGCAACCAGCATTCATTTATTGAGCTGGTCGAGCCCATATTCAAGTCAACTAGCAAAAGATGCCAGGTTTGGACTGGATTCCCGGAGTTTCCCAGCTTAAATCCGGCTTTCAACTCATCACTCTCGACTTCGAGGGTGCCCGACAGACACAAGAGAATTTTGTGAAAGAGTGCCCGGTCGTCTCGCAGGTAGTTGTCAGTCGTTCCGCAGTCGCAGTCAAACCTGGCATCGCAGTGAAAAGTCGTTGCGCATAAAGGTGGGGGTTGCACTTTTCTGTATAAAATGGAGAACCACTTATAATGGTAAAGATAACAAGCAGGAGTGGGCTCTCCACACTTTCGTAAACCAGCGGCGCACTAGAGCACAGTTTAAAAAGAACTATCTATCTATCTAATGTGTAAAAACTCTTAGTTGATGTGACCTTGTTAAGTGACCCATCACTTTATACCCGAAAAGTACGATTCCAAGTTTAGGCAAACGACTTTAGGAAAGATGCCTTCAGGCTGACCGATTTCTAAGCAAATTGCTAGCTTTACCGTATTGGAACCTTAAAAGGAACCGTATTGGAACCGTATTGGAATCGTATTGGAACCGTATTGGAACCGTATTGGAACCCTATTGGAAACGTATTGGAACCGTATTGGAACCCTCGATCTTAGGCGTGATGAAGGTTTTCCCTTACAGGTCACCTCGGTCGTTCAGCTGGCTACAGGGGACGCCGATGGAGCGCTCGAGACGCAAAAACGATGCCTCGACACCGTCAACAATGTGGTCAACGGGCTGCCGGTTATCGGACATGCTAAAGGTGAGCAGAGTATAGTGTTTTGAATTTAAAACTGATAAGTTCATTTAGGTGTTGTGCATTATATAGCCGGCGATACGGAGGGTGGAAATCAGGCGATGAACGCGGCGAGTCGCTCCACGGTTGTCATCGGATCTGGTGTCGTGGCCGGGATCACCACTGGAGGTATTTAAAATGTAACTTACATGTCTATTTTATTAACAAAGCACTAAAAGCACTATTTTAAAAGTCAAAAATGATTTGTTAGTTTAAAAGTTTAGGTCTCGCGGCCATTCCGGCCGGAATTGCCGCCGGAGCAGCTTACGACGGGACGGCCACTCTGATCACCGACAAGCCACAAGGGATCATCGCCGCTTGTGACAATGTGATCAAAAATCCGAATGCCGGAAATATTTTCGATGCCCTCTTTATTCCGGTGGCTGATGGAATGGGTGGATATGCTGGTGGGAAGTTGGGAAGTGCCGTTCTAACAAGAGCTCGTTTGAGCAGCCTCGAGGCGGCAAGAGCCGTCAAACAGGGAAGACTCGATGCAGCACTTTTTGGCGAAGTGGCAATGACCGATGCCGAGGCGATTTCTCTGGGACAACAGATCAACGTCATCACCAGGCAGATCAGCGTGATCGAGAGGGGAACGCCGCAGTATTGGTTTGACCCAAAGAATAAACAGGTGAGGCCCTGAAGTCGAGAGTGTCTAGTCGAACTGGTTTTGCTAGTCGACTTGCAAGTTCTTCTACGTCAAAGAGAAATTTCAATGGTCGCTTTTCTTGCCTTCTACTTTCCAAGGATTTCTGTGTTGCAACCAAATTCTCCTGTTGTGCGTCGCCGAGATTCGTGTTGCAATCAAATTCTCTTTTTGTGCGGCTCCCAAATTTGTGTTGCAACCAAATTCTGTGGATTTTTAGTTTTTCAGCTTAGCACCTACACATAACAATTAACACCAACTGTTTTCAAAGTCTAAAGCTTTAGGTGATAAAAACCTCAAACCCTACTGCCGTCCCGGTGGCCGGTTACATCGACGAAAAAAATCCGGCGAAGGCAGCTGTGATTGTCAAGGAGCTTTCTGCTCTGTAAGTTAACCATCGATAGCACTTTATTTTTAGCACTTTGAAATATCTATTACCTTCAGGCAATGCGATGCTATTCTTGCCGACGACTATTGTGGCATCGAGTGTGCCGGCATCTACACCACTCCGGCGCTCAAAACCCAGCAATTGTCCAAACTTCACAGCCAATCACCACAAGGCTCAATCAATGAGGTTTTAAATAAAATATATTAGGTTGGTAAAAAAGAAATGAGCGTCGTGTTTGTTGATTTGTATTTTATTCACAGTAAAAGATTTTTTTAAAAGAGTTTATTCTATTGGAAAGAGCGTGTTCTTGCGCATCGTTTAATATATAATTTGTCTATGTTTACTTTGTTTTTTTACAAGAAAGAGTGTTTAGAAAATGTCGGACCAAAAATTTCGCTTGCGGGCCTGCTTGTGGTGTGAATTTAAGCAAGGCAAATCGGCTGCTGAAGCTCATCGCGCTCTATCTCAAGTGTTTGACGAAGATGCTCTATCCGAAAGTCAGTGTAAATGATGGTTCCAGCGCTTCCGAGACGGCGACGAAAGCTTGGAAGACCAAAAACACGGGAGTCGACCTCAAATCATCGACAACGACGCATTGAAGGAAGGCATTGAGTCGGATCCACGCCAAACCACTCGCGACCTGGCAGAACAGTTCGGCTGCACTCATGTCACCATTGAGAACCATCTGCATGGCATGGGCAAGACGAATAGATGCGGAAAATGGGTACCGCAGAAGCTATCCGACGCAAACAAGGTGTCATGCATCGCAATCGCCGGAATTCTCACTCACCGCGTCAAGAACAGTGGATTTTTCGACTCCATTGTTACGTCGGATGAGAAGTGGATCCAATACGACAACACATCAAGAATGCGGCAGTGGTTGGACCCCGGTGAAGCGCCAAAACCGACTCCAAAACCGGACATCCACGGAAAAAAGGTGATGCTTTGTGTTTGGTGGAACAGTAAAGGCCTGGTGTACTTTGAGGTTCTGGATTCGGGTCAAACAGTTACGGCGAACCTCTACCAAGGCCAATTGGACCGCGTGGACCAGGCGCTGCGACGTCAAGGTGTGGATACGGCGTCGATAAAATTCCTCCACGACAACGCTCAGCCGCATGTCGCAAAAATCACCCAGCAGAAAATTGAAGAAATGGACTCGGAAGTCCTGCCTCATCCGTCATACAGCCCAGACTTGGCGCCTTCCGACTACCATCTGTTCCGATCAATGCACCACTCCTTGGCCGAGAAAAAGTTCAAGAACCGCGACGAGGTCCAAATTTGGGTGTCCAACTTCTTCGAGTCGCAGCCGGTCGAGTTCTTCCAGAATGGCATCCATTCTCTGCGTGAACGTTGGCGAGAAGTCATTGATGCAGATGGCGAATACCTTTTGGATTAATGTATTGTTATCTTGTTTTTATAATAAAATAAACTTTTAACGAAAACGCGCATTTCTTTTTTACCAACCTAATATTTAAATACCTAAATAGATTTAAAATAAAGATGCTAAAGTTATTATTACAAAAAATTATTTAGATCTATCCAAATGTGGTCGTTGCCACCAAGGAGGACATCGATCGTTTGCAACGCGAGAAACGGGACCCTCAAAAGAAACAAGCGAAAGCCCTTTATGATGCCCATTCATGGTTGCCCGTTCCGATGCCGTCCCAGTTTAACTATACGGTAAAATGATTCTTTTTAAAAAATTCTGAAACATTTAGGGAGCGGTGCTGAGAAACTGGCCGAGTCAGGGTCTCTTTCACACTTTGCTGAGACACAGCGCGCAATGGGAACAGGTGGTTCGAGGCTTGCGGACAAGCCTCAACACAATGTCCTCAACGATGAGAGCTGAGTTGCAAAGTATCGGATCGGCTACCCCACAAAATGTTCGCATTCGGCTGAACAACTTCCAGAGCAACGTTATGCCTCAACTGACTGAGAACGAGTTGGAAGGTGGGTAATTGAAATCAGAATTTGCACCTTTGCAAAAACAATACGGCCTGTGGTCTTTTCGGACTGATTTTACTGGAAAATAAACAAAAACCAGGATCAAAACGCTGAACAAAGCAAATCATGTCTTTAGTTTAGTGACAACAACGTTCCTGCTGACTTTAAGTGGCTGAAAAGCTGAAAAGCTGGGTGGCTGAAAAGTCCTGTCCACATCTTTCAGCGAAACTGTTCAATGTCGCGCTCGTTTTGGCCATTGGTCTCGCTGCGACGAATGGCTAAGCCAATTCAGTTCTTGTGAAAAGCATTAACTGCTAAATCGAATGTAGTTTCTAGATTTACCAAAGTTTTTCTATGAAACTAGTCACATAAGCTGAGAAACTTGTTTGAAGGATGTGGATAGGACTTTTCAGCTACCCTGTAGAACTGGTTTTAGCCAAAAGTTAATAAAAAACGTCAGTTAGGTGTACTGGATATTTAGATACTTACTAAAACTGAATAGAAAAGCTAAATGTACATACGCCTGTGTTCCAGTGCTGAGCGGTCTCCAGATGGACATCTACGATTTTCTCCGCAGCAATATCACCTATTCTAACTACCGTGGAGAGACGGTGAATCAGGCCGGCCATCAGCAGGTCTACTTTGAAGTGATCGATCTGCAGGGAAATCGTCAAATGATGGTTGTTTGTGTCTCATCACAACTCTATCCATCCGACGCCAACTTCAACGATTCTCGTCCCATTCGAACGATCACCACCGTTTTCTTCAAGCCAATCAAACAGGCAACCACAAAGCATTTTTAATTTTTTGTGAAACTTTATTTCTCTAATCTACTTGTTTGATTTACTTGATAAAGAATTTACTGGAGGATTTGATGTTTGAATGATCTTTGATTAAGGCAGAAATGACTCATTGGACCTAAAACCTAGATAACTACTGTTAAAGGAGTTGTTAAATTATCCCCGATTTAGCAAACAAGTGAAGTGAAACAAGTGTCATCTGTTTAACCGTACGGAAGAAATATATATCCATAGGCTGAATAAGGTTGATTGTCCCTGGAGGTATATTTTTGATCTGCAGACTATATCCTTGAGGTAACGCTTGTTGAATGAACTGATGGTCCTTAAAGGATGTCCAAGAATCCAAGAATCCTTAAAGGAGAATCCAAGAGAAGTGTGTATTAATAGGAGCATTCCCTGTACAAGCTTGTAATCCGCTTAAAAATATCTTCAGTTGACACTAGAAAAGGGAAAAGCACTGAGTCAAGCTGACTTTTGTCACTGGGCTCACGTGCCCCAAGATCGCCTAAAATCGTGTACACCAAAAGACCATTTCTATGTGCTGATTCACTTAATGAATATACATAAAAATTGAAATTAAAAATGAATATACATAAAAATTACATAATTTCTCCATTTATTCCATTCACAAGTTACTGTAACGTTTACAAATGTAGTACTGGAGAAGCTCGGTGGGGTCACGACCGCGCCAATCCGTGAAATCGCCACACGAAGAGTCGACGGTTAACTGAATAGTGATTATCGTTTTTGATTATCTGAATAGTTTACGGTTTCCAGAAATTCAAGCCCCAAATTTCCGCAAGAAATTCACCGATGTGGCCCCGGTTCGTGGAGTTGAGCCGTAGAATCGCACATAGTCGAGCAGTGAGCCGTCTAGCCATGTCCACGCGCCGTTGTTGTACAAGCCTGGCATTGAGTTGAAAGGATTTATTACTATATTGAGGCTAAGTCGTAAAGTTGAATGAAACAACACAAATTAGGAAAAAGAAGAGGCTCAATCAGGGGATTTAGGGACCAGTTTTCTGAGGCAGTCAATGGCAGGCAAGAAGCAAGAGATCCTGATTTTGATTCTTGACCTTCTGGGTTGAACCCTGATCCTTAGCCTAGCGCGTTATCTACTACGCCAGCAACGCACTGCTTGTCAGCTTTTGATTGTTTTTACACGTTTACACAGTTTTACCTGGAAATTCATTTGAGAGATTTTGATTTCAGATTCGGATTTCAGATTCGGATTTCAGATTCGGATTCCTCAGATCCGATTCTATAAAATGCGCTAGGTGTCCAGACAAAAAGCTTACCTTAATTTTGTGTTTTTCCCTAGTTAGGCCAATCCAGACAAAATCAGGACCAGTTAAGTAGTAAAAAACAAGATCAGACCCAGTCTAGACCCAGTCAAATCAAAGCATTTCAGTATTTAGGCTGGCTTCGATTCTAACTAGATTTAAACTACTTATATCTTAATTCTAGAATCATCAACGGCTTCTCGAGATAGGAAAAGTGATTCCGGATCAGAGCCGGTCTGCTTGGTTTCAAAGTTGAATGCAACCAGACAGATTGGTGATTTAAAGGAAAAAGAAGAACAGAGTCAATAAAGAGTGCCTGAAAAGATTTTTCGTCGATTCAAGAATCATTTGCACGGCTCGAACCGAGGAATTTAGAGAAAAATGGGATTCAAATTTGAAATTTTGGACTATTTTTACCTTAGAAATGCTTCTTCACAATAAGATTTTTGTTTTGAAAATCTGTTTTTTTGCTGAATTGCCCACGAACCCTATCTAGCTTCTTTGACAGCTTCTACCCTTTTTAAGCAGGGTCAAAAATTTTAACTTTTCTTAAATCTGACTAATCTGCGGCTCGTTTTAAAGGGAAATCTTCCTTTCTTGCTTTTTTTTCTTTCTTTCTTTCTTTCTTTCTTTCTTTTTTTTCTAGAATTATGGAAAACTCTAAATTTCACTCACCACCAAGCCAAACATCATTTTTGTAAGAATCACTTGTTCCACACGATGCGGTCACTCCGAGAGTTAACCCTATAGAAATCTTTAAAAAAAAATCAACGGGTTTGAAACAAACCAACAATGAAACTATTCTCTTGATAGCTGTGCACCGAAGCCAAACTAGAGCCCATTTGCGAGCAGCGCTGCATAGCGTCATAGAAAGTTGCGTCGTTTCCCACCTGAAACTTTTCGAATATTTTCAGATATTGTTTAGCTTAACTGTTTAGCTTAACTATTTAGTTTAACTCATTAGCTTAACTATTTAGCATAACTGTTTAGTTTAATTGTTTAGCTTAACTGTTTAGCATAACTGTTTAGCTTAACTATTTAGCTTAATTGTTTAGCTTAACTGTTTAGCATAACTGTTTAACTTCACTGTTCAACTTAACTGTTTAGATTAACTATTTAGCTTAATTGTTTAGCTTAATTGTTTAGCTTAACTAGTTAGCTTAAGTGTTTAGCTTAACTGTTTAGCATAACTGTTTAGCTTAACTATTTAGCATAGCTGTTTAGCTTAACTGTTTAGCTTAACTAGTTAGCTTAACTGTTTAGCTTAACTGTTTAGTTTAATTGTTTAGCTTAACTGTTTAGCTTAACTGTTTAGTTTAATTGTTTAGCTTAACTGTTTAGCTTAACTATTTAGCTTAACTCTTTAGCTTAACTATTTAGCTTAATTGTTTAGCATAACTGTTTAGCTTAACTGTTTAGCTTAACTATTTAGCTTAATTGTTTAGCTTAATTGTTTAGCTTAACTGTTTAGCTTAACTAGTTAGCTTAACTGTTTAGCTTAACTGTTTAGTTTAATTGTTTAGCTTAACTGTTTAGCTTAACTATTTAGCTTAATTGTTTAGCATAACTGTTTAGCTTAACTGTTTAGCTTAACTGTTTAGCATAACTGTTTAGCTTAACTTTTTAGCTTAATTGTTTAGCTTAACTGTTTAACATAATTGTTTAACTTAACTATTTAGCTTAACTCTACTGTTAAACTAGAATTAAGTAAACAAATCGATTACAGTGACCGTTTTGGTGTTTCTGAAGCGAATTTCTGAATGTTTCTCTACTGCAAAAAGGCGCTTGGAACTGGTTTCTGACTTGCGATGTTTCTCCGAGAAAATTTGGCGCTTTAAAGAGTGGTAAAACTACCGTACTCCTTCTAATTTGCAAAGAAAGCACGAAATTTCATTTTTTTCCATTCTTGTTCTTTTCATTTTATTTTTTTGACGTTTTTATGATGTGGTTGCGTTTGTTTTTGCAAAAAAAACAAAGAGAATAAAGCTAAGTTACGTTTTTGACAGCATTTCTGGAAGCTTTCTGCCGGAATTCTTTGGCGGAAGCTTTAATTTGAATAAAGTTTCAATAAGGTTGTTAAAAGTCGAAAGTTCTGCATCTACAAGCGAGGGTTCTGTCATAAAATGACACTCAGTATATCTCTGAAGTTCAACCGCCACCATAAGCTCCGCCTTAAAATTCTGAGTCAGAAAAACGCCACTTCGATACTCCAAAGTCTTAAAAACAGTTGAAAAAATTTTGATTTTTTAAAAGTCACAGTACTTACTCTGAGTTACTGTGACTCCAATTTTGAAACTGAATTTCTCGGTGAGCTTGATGGCTAGCGGAATGTCGAAATGGCACATTAAAAAGTCAGAATTTTGTCCGATCGCACATGTGAAGTGGATAGGCAAAGTAAAAAGTCACAAAAACAAAGCTTCCGCCAAAGAAAATGATAAAAACCACTTGATTTAACATTATTTGGCATTCGGTTTGTCGAGCAGATCGTCGAGAAGCAAGTGGATCTAAAAAAACTCTACAAACGAAGCTCCACATACAGAAAATGCTGTTAAAAACGTAACTTAGCTTTATCCTCTTTGTTTCCTGTAAAAATAAACGTGAATAATACATCTAAAACATCAAAAACATCAGAAAAATGCAAAAAGAATAAAAAGAAATAAAAAAATGAAATTTCCGTCTTTTTTTGCAAATGAGGAAGGGTACGGTAGTTTTACCACGCTTTAAAGGGCCAAATTTTCTCGGAAAAAGGTCGCAAGGCTTCTGATATAGCTCTAGTTTAGCATACAGACTCTAAGCTCCGTTTGGAAGATGCCCGATGAAAAAGAACTTACATAGTAGCAATATTTTGTGAGCGCATAGTAGCTCCACCCGGGCGGACACGTGCTACCAATTGGAGGCACTGAAAAGGCAGATGATAGACATTGAAAAATGCTGATCTCAATTCCACCCCTTGTTTTTTGGGCAATTGTTACGAAAGCTTATCTACAAGCTGCTAAAACCGCTTTCTATTTGTAGAAAATTTTTCGAAATGATCGGCTAAGAAATGGGCTGAGAAAACAAAAATAGAATTAGGTTTAGTTTAGAGCTTTTCAATTTTTATGTATGAGAATTAGTACTTTCCTAGTTGTTGCCGCTAAATTTTCCAGATTTTCATTTTAAAACTTTAGATCAACTGTTTCCAATGAGGGATTGAATGCAAATTTGAATAATGCTAATTTTCCGGCGGTCGAACAGGATCGAACACGATTGTCAGCGAATTTTTGGAAAACTTCAAAGCTTTAAACCATCACCAAAACCATCGATTTGTCTGGTTCAATTGCGCAACTTTAGATGAAGCTGAGCACTGAGTAATCAAGAATTTTCATAGGGTTCTTTGTGAATGTTCTTTGTGTTCTAGATTTCAAAACGAATCCCATCTAGCCCTTCTCTTTTTCAAACACCTTTTTTATATAAAACTGCAAGACTTGGCAACTTTACAGAGTACAGAGTTCAACTTTTCAGACAGCCTTTGTTTACAACTTTAAGCTCACAGAGAACACCATAATTTGGCACTGAAAAGGCAGATGATAGACATTGAGAAATGCTGACTTCAATTCCACATATGTTTTTTTGGGCAATTGTTACGAAATCTTATCTGCAAGCTGCTAAAACCGCTTTCTATTTGTAGACAAGTTTTCAAAATGATCAACTAAGAAATGGGCTGAGAAAACGAAAATA